ACACTAACAGCTAAATATCTTTGTTTGACACACTCACCTCCTGAATGAAATATATATATATATATATATATATATATATATATATATATATATATATATATATATATTTGGTTGGATTGATGTGAGTTTGTGACCCTGAGGTTTCACACTTTTGCAATTGTCAGACAAACTCTTAGCTCTATCTCTGATATTGAGTGCTTTCTAATAAGTACCTTGCATATAATATATAAAAATAATAATATAATATATTATATATATATATATATATATATATATATATATATATATATACAGTATTTACATTAGTCAGACTATTGTCCTCATCTTTGTCGCCATATTTGTCACATGTTTCGGCTGTTGTACGCTCCGGCCTTCTTCAGGTGGTTGGAATTTTGAACTGAACCCTTTATTTTGATCACTGTGGTAGACTGTTCTAGTTCCACGTGCCATGTTTGATGGATGTCAGTTATCAGTTATCTCCTGCTAATTTTTCCCTCTGAAAGTTCTCCACTGCCTTAACCAGGTATTGAACTCACACTCTTTGGGTCTGTCACTGGATTTTAACGCCTTTATCCACTTGAGGACATCTGGGTATGAATTTCTGGGTATTATAAACCTAATGTTTTCCGTAACCATTTGTTACCAGTGCTCATATTGCAATTTTTTGCTGTTATCATTGCATGTTTTTACCAGAGCCCATATTGCAACTTTGTTATCATTGCTTTTCTCTGGCAATCCTTATTACTGGTTCCCATATTGTATTTATTTCTATGCTTGGTCGACTCAGGAGATTTTGTGGCCTAGCATATGTGCTGATTCATAAGTTTTGAATTTTCCAATGGTGTTCCCTGTCTATGATCTCAACATGATCCCACAGGGGACGGTGATCTCCCTTCTCTCTCCATATGTGGTCAGCCACGCCTGATTTTTCTACTTCCCCTCGCATTACAGCTTTCTGGTGTTCTTGAAGCCTTACCTTGAGGGGGCGGCCTGTCTCTCCTTTATATTCCTTTCCACAGCTACACGGGATAGCGTACACACAGTCTTTAGTCATGTTCTCCTCTATGGGGGTCTCACTCGAGAGAGATATCTGCGAAGTGTTGTCATGCTTTTGAAGGTTGTCCTGATGTTATATGGACCACAGATCCTTTGTATTTTCTCTGATAACCCCTCACATAAGGCAGGCAGACTGTTTTCTGAGTGTTGTTGTCCTCCTCCTCCTTTTGTACCCGCCTATCCCAGTTTTTGGGGGCTGCTGCCATGTACCCAGGGTAGTTGTTACATTGTAGGGTACTACTTATACTGACCAATTCCTTATCTAACATCTCTGGGTCGCCACATGACTTTTGCTCGGTGTTGTAAGCAATGGACGATCCCTTTCTTTATGCTGTATGGATGGTGGGAGTTGAAATTGAGGTACTGTCCGGTGAATGTTGGTTTATGGTATACGAATGTCTTGAACCCATGCTCTGTTTGAGATATTAGTATATCCAGGAATGGGAGTGTGTTTTTTACTCTCTTTCTCCATTGTGAACTGTATCAAAGGTCTTATTGCGTTCACATGGTCCAGTAGAACCTGGACATCTTCCTTGTGTGGCCAGAGTATGAAGGTGTCATCTATGTACCTTAACCATATAGTTGGCTTTAGAGATATAGATTCTAATGCCATTTCTTCAAAGTATTCCATATATATAATTGCCATTGCTGGTGATAATGGCAAGCACATTGCTAAGCCCTCATCCTGTCGATATATGTGTGAATCCATTCCGAAGTGTGTTGTTTGTGTACAGAAAGTCAACATCTCCATCAGATTATCTATTGGAATACTGGTCCGCTCCTCTAGGGAAGAGTCAGAGGTCAATCTGTCTCTGACTACTAAGAGTGCCTCCTCCGTGGGTACCTTGGTGAACAAACTCACCACGTCCAAGCTCACCATCTGGTTGGATAGGATGGGAGCATCTTTGATTATTTCCGCGAAGTGGGCGGAGTTTCGGACATATGATGGAGACTTTCCGATCAATGGGTCAATTATATCTACAAGGAAGCGACTCAGAGGGTGGCACACAGAGCCTTGGCAACTAACAATTGGCCTGAGCGGAATATCGTCTTTGTGAATCTTAGGGAGACCGTAGATGTGAGGTAGCTTGGTGTAACGCTGCGATAACTGCCTATACGTCTTGGGTGCGAAGTGATTCTTGTTCTTGATTAGGATCTGTGACAGCTTGCGTTCTGTTTTCATATTAGGATCTTTCTTCACTTTGCTGTAGCTACCATTGCTAATGACGTCTTCCAGTTTTCTTGTAGAATCTGATTTGTTCATCACTACAGTCGCATTACCTTTGTCAGCCGGTAGTATGATGATGTATTCGTTCCTCTGTAGGGATCCAATCACCAGTCTCTCCAGTTTTGTTATGTTAGACCTGGGCAGCTTGGCTCTCTCCAAGGCCTGTCTTACTTTCCATCTTAGTTCATCCGCCTGAGCCTGAGGGAAGTTCAAGGCCACCTCCTCGACTCTGGCAATGATGTCCAAGTATGGCACCCGCCTGATGGTTGTGGTGAAGTTGGGACCCTTATTCAATACTGACTCCTCAGAGGCACTCAGCTGATATTGGCTGATGTTGGCTACTGCTTTCACTGGTGGGTGATGGACCTTGTGCGTCACCTTCTGATCTTTCAATCTATTTAATTTTTGCACTTGGCGAGCCTTGACTACATCAAATTCATGTCTGAAGGATTTATCCAAGTCATTTTGGATCCTTCTCTGCTCTTCTTCATTAGTAATTCTGTTGAAGAAATCCTCGAGCGTCTGGTAGATATGAGCTTGTAGTCGATGTTTTATCCAACGATTGTAATGGATTCTCTCTCGGACAAGGGCGTGTCTCGCTTTCTCTGCAACCCGATGAGCTCTCCTTGAATTGATGGGAAGTCTTGGTGCCAAGCCTGACGGGATGAGTTGTAGGTCTCTGCATCGGTGTAGGAATGTCAGATGGTTTGATATTCGTGCCAGCTTCTGGTAGGATTTGTCAATTTGTCTCCATATTTTTGGTATATCGGGTCCGTACCGATCCTTCCGAGTCTGTCTATATTTCTGAGATGAGGTATTATATACAGTATTTACATTAGTCGGACTATTGTCCTCATCTTTGTCGCCATATTTGTCACAATGTTTCGGCCGTTGTACGCTCCGGCCTTCTTTAGATGGTTGGAATTTCGAACTGAACCCTTTATTTATCAAATATATATATATATATATATATATATATATGATGACATGATTAAATCATGATTAAAAATCAATGTGAAAATATAAAAGATCAATATATAAGTCTAGATTAAGCATCAGTTGCTATTATGATTTTTGTTTTTCTAAAAATTACCACATTATAGGTGTATTTTATACCCTACAGTGTGTAATATGGTAGAAAATATGCTATTTTATTTATTTCATATGGATCTCCCAAGTGTTAAAAGTTTTTCTTCATGAAATAAAATAGCAGATTGTGATTTGGATATAACAAAGGCTAAATAAAAAAAAATGTCTTTTCTCTGTTGGCATAGTTAATAGATTCAATCTTAAAAATAAATATGAGAAAATAATTAAAATGTTCATAGCACTTGAAAAATACATTTAATTCAATGTTAATAGCTAAATTTCAGTACCTGTGTAAAAAAATAATCAAAATTGCTAATTTTTAAAAACTATCGGTAAAACACACTTATTGACTTGACATCATAAAATGGACAATATTTGATTTTTAATTTTATTTTAGAGTTTATTTTTTTGTTAAATTTGCATTGTTAGCTACTCTGTCTTAAAAATATCATATTTGTGGTTAAACATGTGTCCAGATCAGCTGCAAATAAAAATTCAACAGTTCACTCTTTCTTTTAGCAGTTCATCTGAGAATTTTTAATCTTTTTGTATTTTCATTGAATTATGCATTTAATCCATTAGAACAACCTTCAACAAGAGTAAGTAAAAAACAACAAAGTGTGCTGAACTGCTATTTAATATCTGTTGTAACCTAGAAAAGGTCTACTGAATGAGGAATAACGAAAATGGAGGTTGGAAATGAAATGGTAATCTTTATAACATCAACAATATACAATACTTGCTAGCGGCATGAAGTAGGTAAACCATTGCTAGTGGTGGACTACTTAGACATCATATTAACCCCACTTACAATAGTGTCCAATGTATTTATGAGGATTGAGACTTACCCATTAGTGTTCATAGATACGGTATATAACATTATCAATCCCCTTATATAAATGCTGGACTATTTCTTCACACATGTGATTCTTCAGAAGGATGCTGAAAATTCTATGAATGGGATTATGTAGACAACAAAATAATTTTAAGGAAAATTAGAACAAAAAGACTCATGTACTTAGAATCATAAAGAGACAACTGAAATTTCTGAGAGACATAATGAGGAAAGCAGGCTTAGAGAATATGGCACTTACAGGTCATATTGAAGGCAAGAGAAGTGGAGGGAAACATAAAAAGTTTGTGTAAATGGATGGTAGAACAAGAAATGAAAGGAATAGTAAGGAGATAAACTTAGAACTACAAAGGAGAGGAAAGTGTGGAGAAACATGATCTTCCATATCTTGAAGAAACTTGGCACATAAAAGATCACTGACTGTGAATTATATCAATTCAAGTGTATATCTAGAATTGTTAAATATTATAAACAAGGTTATCATGCATTTTTTTCTACAGAAACTTTTTTATCACTGAACAGAAAATTCGCAAAACATCAAAGCAGGTCTCTATGTGTTTGTCTCTGTGTGGCTGTTTTTAAAAAAATTACCAATTTTTAATGGTAATCTGAAAAGTGGTTTTATTCAGGGAAAACTCCAAGTAGTCTTGCTGGTGTACCTTCAGATTCATGTAAAGTAAGAAAGAAAATAAAGCTTACATTACAACAGTGGATCGATGACTGGTTCTTTCAAGCCTCTATGTCCTTTTTGCTGAAACCAATTTCAGTGGCTAAATGCCCCCTCAAGGGGGCTTGGTACTCTGCTGGCTTTCTTTTTTTCTCAAAAACCCTCTGAGCATTTCTGAAATTGTTATCAGTGATCGCATTTCTCTGTGCCAACAGAAGTGCAACTGTGATCTATTTGATTCTCTGGTGGAATTGGTAATCTCACCACCCTCACCTCCCCATTTTGGATAATGAGAATTTATTGATTTTATTGTGACCCATGTATAACTCATAACGAGAAGAAAATGAATTAGATAGGAAGGAACTAGAAAAGTAGAAAGAAATAAAATTCAAAGAAGATAAGGAAGAAGAGAAGAAAAAAGTGAAAATGATATAGTGAAAGGGGGGAACAGAATAGAAAATAAAGAAAATAACAATAAAGAAATAAATGTATACAATCAAGTGGAAAACTTTAAATCCAGCAAAGAATTACATTGTAAAAATTCTTCCCTGTATAGTTTGTCTTGTTTTTAATTCATTTCTTTTTTATTCCACTTTTACCAATTTTTCATTTTATCTTCCTTTTTTTGCATTTTATTTCATGTTTGTCTTTTAGTTTTTAATTCCTTCATCTTTAATTTCACTTTTGCATTTTGTTGTTCTTTTTGAAGATTTTCTTTCTAACTTTTTTTTTTCTTTATTTTCTTGTCACTTTGCTACTTACATTAACTTCACTCTTTTTCTTTTATTTTTGTATTTTTCTTTATTCCATTCTCGTATTTCCCACCTTTTCTAAAACCTTGTATCTTTTTACCTCATTCCCTTTTTATCTCTCTCTCTCTCTCTCTCTCTCTCTCTCTCTCTCTTCACCAGAATATTTTATTGTATCATTTTCTTTCTTCTTTTTCATTCATCATTCTTTCATCTGTTTCTCTTTTTTTGCTCCTTCCCATTTCTTTATCATTTCCATTTGTTTCTTTTTTGTTTTCTTTGTTATACTTGTTCCAGCTTTCTCAAAACTTCTTCTTTTTCCTTTCCTCATTACATTTTTATATCTTCTAATCTTCTTTCCTTTTGTTTTTCTATATTTTATTTTATTCACCTCTATCTCTTTTTCTACTTTCTTTCACCTGTTAATTATTCCTTCTTTACTGGTATAAACTCAGCATAAATCTACCCAACTGTTTATTCATTAATTTTATCATTTCTCAAATAATTTTTTAAATATTTTTCCTGAAATCTGAATGTGTTGCAGTTAATAAGCAACAACTTCAAAATACATGGAATAAATTCTTTCCTCTAACCGAAACAAGAACATACAAAATTGACCATTTAATGTCTCCTCATTGTTTTTTTTTTCTTTTCAGCAATACTTGATTTTTTAAATCTCTGACTTTATATTCTCTCTTGAAATTGTATTCACTCAACAATTGACACTAACAAAAGTCTTCCATTTTTTTTTTCATCTCTTACTCCACCTCATATTTTCCTTCATTTTTTCCTCTAGAAATTGCGTGACTTTTTTAGAGGACCACATAAATATTATTCTACCCTTCACTTATTTGGTTCTGCATGAAACGTTTTGAATATATTCATAAGGAGACAAAAGAAAAAAAAATGTCTGTTGGCACATCAGCTAAAACAATTCATCATTATTTTTATGGTCCCTTTTTTCTTTCATTTTGGTTGTTTTCTTTTTTAAATTTTTTTCTTTCTTTTTTTCTTTCTTTATTTCTTTCTTCATCTTCTCTTTCTGGGGGTTTCTCATGCTATGAATATATCTTGTACTTCTGTGAGGAAACAAATCCGTAAAACACAAGAAGTTGTTATCCATTTTGCGCTTGGATCAATTTATCTTGTAATGTGCTTGCTGATGGAGAACACACAATGATTGTTGCCAGCAGCAACTACAGTACATGTGTAAAGTTTCATACAAGCACACATGCATATACAAAGATATGTAAGTATGGTTGTGTATCTGTGCATGTGTAATAGGCTTTATTGGCAAACAAAATGCTTTCACCACAGACATAAAGTAGAAAGATTTATCACTAGATATAATGACCATTTTTAACACCTATTTATACATACACAATATCTAATAAGTAACACTTTTTGTACTTTTCTATAAATTTTAAACATTGAATTTAAAATTCATATTATTTATGATGATAATATTTATATGAATTCTGTCCATTTATAATTTATTGATGGTATAATACATGTTATTAAGAAATTTAAAGTAAGATTTGTGGAGATAAACAACATATCTAAAAGCAGAATGATTTTAGTCATTGCGAGTTTCATTTTAAATCAAATATCTTATTTAAATATTATGAGACATTCTGTTTGCAACAATCACAAAATAAAACAGTCATTATAACTAATAAAATAGGGATTACTACTTTTCAAGCATCAACTCTTTGACAAATTGAGTTTTACATAATACAGTTACTAAAAGATTAGCTAACTATAATAATTTCAACACTAATTACACCCCTGTTCATAATATGGAGTTGAAATTTTTACAAGAGCTAATTAAAAAGATGTTCATCTCTTGTGGAATCAACTATGACAGTTGAGCAACAGACAGTGTGGTCAGTGGAGACAGAAGACTTCACAGTGGAGATAAATGGATTCTTTAAAAAAAAAAAAAAAACGACGTTACTCATCTCTCTTGTAGAATCAACTACTACCAATGGGCAACAAAGACTATGATCAGTGGTTGACAGGGGGACCTTCACAGAACAGATTCATCCTCCACAAAGAGTTTTCCTATAGGACAATAGACTAGTGTTGGTTCATGAATTTGGTGACATAGTAATTGTGAGTTCAATCCCTGACCCATGCAGTATGCACTTGAACCCACTGGAAGCAGATCAAGCAATAACTGAGTAGTACTAAAAATAAAAACTAGATGAGATATCTTTAGACACTGGCAGCAGAACAATCTACCCCCATAGATTAAATAAAGGGTTCAGATCAGAATTCCCTGTAGATTACTCAGATTGATGTAAGGCTGGATGGCACAATGGTTGAAATGTTATGATAACAACAACAAAAATGAGAATAATATTCCAAAATATAGTGTAAATATAAATATTTCCTAAAAATGTTACCAATAATTGTTGGTTAATGACAATTTTATTATGGAAACATTGATTTGCATGATAGCAAATGACATTGTATCCAATGTGAACAAAATGGAAATATTTTTTAAATAGTTAATTATTCATTTCATTATCTTTTTAATTAAGGAAAAAAACAGTAGTTATAAATTTATTTTGATTAATTGAGGGCAAATAAAAAATAAAGAATAAAAAATCTTTCATTCCTATTCTTTCTTTATTCTTTATTCCTTCTTTTTCCTTCTTCATTACATCTTTTTTTTTTCTCTTCCATCCTGTTTTTTTAAGGGTAATTCAAAATTTCCACTTTTACAAAAATTATCACTCTCAATATCCAAATCTATAGTGTAGACAATGAAAAATTATGAAATCATTGTAATATTTAAAATACGATCACTAATAGTAATAATGAAGTAACTGCTAATATATATATATATGTGTGTGTGTGTGTATATATGATAAAAGACATGCACACATGAAAAATTTCATGGCCATATAAATATATTTCATCCACAGGTGTTATAAATACAGTGCTCAGTGTTCTGAGACAGAGCTCTAAGTATATATTAGTGAATATACATGATGTCAAATGTCGATAGCATAATTTAAAGTTTCATGCAATTCATGCAATCTTCAGGAGATTGTATTTGCACCTGAAGATTGCATGAACTGCATGAAACTCTGACATTGGATATTATGTATATATACTAATATATATATATATATATATACACACACACATATGGGAAAATGATATATAAATGATTATATATCAAGATCAATGTTAAAGAAATCTATCATACTTTAGTAGGTATTTTGTCCCATTCTTCCTAAGTAATTGTCTTCAGGTTTTTGATGTTTGTTGGACCTCTATCATGGATCTTATTTTTCAAAAACCACCATAAATTCTCTATTGGATTCAAATCCGGCAATTGACTAGGCTATTGTTAGATGTTAATGTTGTTATTAGCAAACCAATTCTTCATATTCTTAGCAGCATGCTTAGAATCATTGTCCTGCTGGAAGATCCAATCAGGAGGAAGCCCAAGATTCTCTACAGAAAGTGATAAATTTTCACTTAGGATTTGTTGATATTTTTCTGCATTCATTCTACTGTCTATAATTGCTAGTTTGCCAACACCTCACATCAAAAAGCAGCCCCAAACCATGATACTACCCCCACCAAATTTGACAGTTGTTATGGTGTTCTTGTGTGCATATGCTTTGCTGTCTTTCCCCCATACATGATTCAGGGAATTGTGACCGAACAACTCAATTTTACTCTCATCTGTCCAAAGAACTCTTTCCCAATAAGAATTTTCCTTATCTTTATGCTCTGTTGCAAATTTCAACCTGGCATCTCTATGCTATTTCAGAAGGAGTGGTGTCTTTCTTGGGGAGCACGACTTTATACTGTCTCTGTGTAGTTCATTACTAATCGTTTGCTTAGTTACATTAACTCCTGACAAACTTAGATCATTCTAAAGGTCTTGTTTGATGGCCATTGGGTTATTCTGGATCTGTCGCATCAACTTTCTTCATAATCTGGGAGAGATCTTCCTGGGAGAACTGAGTCTGCCTTTGTTCTCAACAGTATTATGTCTTTTAAATCTTGCAATAAATGAACCAATTGTTGAAAAAGGTGTGTTCGTGTCACTGGAGATGTTTCTGTAATTTTTTCCATTGTTCTATAGCTTAATAATTAGCTCTTTTTGAGCACAAGTCATTTCCTTACATCTAACCATTATTAGAACTGTTATCAGTGAACAGTGACTGTAGAATGATCCAATTTTAAACTGAATGTTGCAATACAGTTACTGAGAATATTCTAGAACAGTTTAGAATCTTCTACTTTTAAATACAACCAAAATCTTCTGTATTATAATGCAAAAATTGATACTGTATGAACACTTTTTCCACTATTTGAAATAACTATCACTTATCAATGAATTTCTCATTTTAAATTGCAGATTCTGATTCTATGCCCCAAAATACATATATAATATTGTTATTTTAGGTTTTCATTCACTATAAGTAAGAATAACAAGCATTTGTTTGCTATACGATCACTTATGATGACATGCCTATCCAGTCACCTTACGTTACACCTAGCTGACCACAGATCCATTAGAATCCATTTAAACACACACACAAACTTACCAGACTCCATTCAAAACATACTAGTAGAAAATAAGAACATAATAACCTCATCCACATGTAAAAAATATTTAAAATAATGGAAGACTTAATAATAAAAAAGAAAAAGCCAACACTTAATATTAATTATGAACACAGCCACTATGTGCTGTGTTTGAAAAATACAACATCTCTATAACACTAAAAAAATACACACAACACGCATACTCAATTAAACTGAAAAAATAAGACCATCCTTGACAATGGCTAAAAGTATAGCTGAAAGCACTCGGAATTATAGAACATTTGTACAGTTTCTATACACTCTGTGTCCCAAAAAGAAAACACTTGTGCGAAAATTAAGTAAAGAGCTTAATTGTAGTACCTTGTCCATCATTTTTAATGAAACATATATATGTATATATATATATATATATATATATATATATATATATGGTGGACCCTCATGTTGTATTCAACATATGAGGGTCAAGCAACTCAGTTCCTAGGAACTGACAGCCAGACACCAGCATATATGATTTGATTATAGTGGTGAAGGCTTTATGCAGAACCAATAACACTTTTTGAAGGGACAAATACAGAGACATTGTGCACTATGTGAGCAAGGTCCCCAGAAGACCCTCCACAGATTTTGATTCAGTTGTCCTTCTCCTAGAGCAGTTAACATCCAAGGCTCTAGAACATAGTCTGTCCTGCTATTTAGCCATAGCTGGAGGGAAAAGAAGAGGATTAATACCTTTTCCAAGGGTATTATCATATAAGTGAATGCAATGGCTTCAATGGATTGTGTGTATATATATATATATATATATATATATATATATATATATATGTATGTATGTATGTATATATATATATATATATATATATATATG